CGTCATTATAAATGTGTAATATGCTCACATCAAGAAAAGCTGAGACAGCCGCGGGACAAAAGATCATGGCCGTTCTTCCAACCAAGGGATGTCCACAAGGAAGAATACTATCACCCTTGATGTGAGGCTCAGATTGAATCCGGCCAAAACCACGGTGGTGTCTTTCTCTAGAAAAAGAAGTCTGGAACGTCTGCATGCAATAACATTACATGGAGAAACAATCCAACCGAAGGAGGACGTCAAATATTTGGGTTTAACGTTTGACAAGGGGCTTCGGTGGAACAAGCAGTGGTAGTCCCAGCAAGAGCCACCATAAGGTGGATGTATACCATACTGATAGTGCCGCTTCTAACGATAGTGGCGTGGGGAAAAATTTTGGAAGGTTAGGGTGCACATGCATTACCGATGCTATGAGAACTTGCCCAACGGCAGCAATCAAGGTCATTCTTCGCTTATCGTCGCTACATCTGATCGAGAGTGCAGCAAGGGCAACCTTAAGGTTGGGTGGAAGATGTGGAAATACGGGGACTATCATTGAGCCAAAGGACCAAATCTTTTGAACCCATGGGAATGTATCCAAGTATCTTTCGGGCGGAAATACACACTATAAAAAGGTGCGCCCAATTTAACCTGGATAGTGGTTGTCGCGGGTGCGATAAAAGTGATAGGGTCTGACAGTCAGGCTGCCATAAGGGCTCTGAATTCTTGCGAGGTTTCCTCCCGGATACAGATTCCGCACTGTTTTGGCAAGCTCGACCGATTGGGTCAGGACAATCGGGTCATATTGTGCAGGGTGCCGGGGCACCTTGACGTGGAAGGCTATGAGAAAGCAGATATGCTGGGGAAGCGCTGGCCACTCCCAGTTTTGCTGGAAAAAAATTTTGTTGGGCAGTTTTGTTGGGCACGTAAGATCCGTGAAATGCTGAAGCCATAGACACTTGGGCAATTTCGACCGGAAACGCTACGGGGCAATCATAACAATGCCGCAGGATCATGTGGAAATTCTTTCTGACGAGGCACTGCAAGCTAAGGCAACACCTAAGCAAGTTAGGCATGTGGACAGATGGCTCTTGCAGTTACTGCAGTGAGGGGTAGGAAACTCCTGTGCACCTTCTCAACGAGTGTGATGCGTTAGTCCATAGGAGTGGCGCCAGTTTGTGTGGGCCCTGGCTGGTGAGCATGCCGTTGTGGACATCCTGCGGAAAAGTTGCTCGGATTCATCAAAAGTGTGGGTCTCGAGGGGGTGCTCTATGCGGTACACTGTTCTTTTATTCGTGAAGGATCCCACCAAGACGAACCTGTGGTGAAAGCAACATATGGGATGATTCTATCAACTTCTACATGGACAAACCCAAAGCTTCACAGGGAGTATGTAGTTAACCTTGTAATAGAGGTAAAACTGTACCGAAAATTTACGAAATTTTTCCAATTCAACCTCGTTGTATGCCTATATGTATACTAACATATTGAAATACATACACATATTTTCATAATGTAATGGTGTATGTATGAAAAAATAAAGAAAAATCGTAATACTTTTTTCTTTCTTTTACTATCACATATCCTGGTACATCTTTGTACGAAAATTATTATGAAAAATATCACTATTTCAGGGTACTTTTTTTTTTATTCTTTTTTATTTTATTAACTAGACACACACATTCGGAACCATTATTCATAATTATAATTGGATTCATTTCCTTTCTGTAACTGTTTTCCTTTCTAATATTTTTGTTTTTTTTTTTCGTTTTCGTTACAACTCAAGTCTATAAAAGGCCCAAACAAACTAATGGAATGTTTTAGTCTCGGAATACCTTTACTGTTATTATCTTTTTATCGTTACATTACTGAATGGATTTAAAATTAAAAAGTTAAAATACAAGAAAAAATAATTAAAAAAAATATTTAAAGAGAAATTGAAAAAAAAAGAAAACTTTAAAACAATTTATAACTGTGATTATTCTTTACTTATTATTATCGTCTATTTATTAATATTTACTTTATCTGTTGTTTTACATAAATTTTGCATAAACTTTGAGAAAATTTTTAACAATTTTAAGTACAAAAATTATATATATATATACATAGTGTTGTAAATAGATTTTCTTGTAAATATTAAACACATTCACAAATTAATTTAAATAAAAGTATAAAAAAAATAAATTTGAAAAGAGAAAATTTTATATAACAAAGCAAAGAGGGCAAAAAAAGGATTAAAAAAAGCAAATAACGAGAAATTTCATATTTTAAGTGAAAAATAGTGTTACAAAGAAAAATTGAAAGAATATTTAAACACAAAAAGAAAAAAGAAATTAAATTGCAAAATAGAAAAAATTTTATAAAAAAAAATATTTTAAAAATACAATGAGAAGTGGTAGTTACGGTGTTTCATATCCGTTATATACCAATTCCAAACCAAACTATAAAAACGGAATAAAATCATCAACTTCACCATCAGGTATATTTGGAACAGGACAAGGAATCGGAATAACACCAAATCATAATAATAATAGCGGAAATAACTCAGATCGTGAAAGTGTTGCAAGCAGTTATCGTTCAAACGCAAAAAGAAATCGACCAAGGCAATTATTTTTTTTTTCCTCATAATTTTTTAAGAATATTCAAATAAAATATTTTAATTTAAATATTATGGTTGTTCAAACTGACCCAGTTATCATTACATGTAGTGTTCACTTTTAAAATCAATTAAAGTTCCGTGACAAACTGCTTTTAACATAATTTTACAAAAGTTATTAATTGGAATTGAATTTTATAAAAGTGTTTAATTGGAAAAGTAATTAATATTACATTGTGTTCAAAGTCCTGTACAAAAAAAATCTGATTTTAAATTGGTTGCAATTCATATTTAAAATAATTTATCCAATGAGTGTTTTCAAAATTCAATGTTAGTGGAGTACTTTTAATGATTTTTTTCTTAGATTTTCGATATCACAAAGTTAATCAAAATTTTTGTATTCTGGGCTAAAATTCTAAAGCAGATCTGATATACGATTTTTTAAATACCAGCTCGGGAGCAAAATTTATATTATTAAAAAAAATGGAGCGTGTAATGTGGATCAGAAGCTCCATTTGATTCTAGATTAATAAAAATATCACATTCTAGATTAATAAAAAAATTGCCAAGTGTTTTCAACAACATAGACTTGAGATAAGTTTGAAGCACTATACGGAATTATTTCTAATATATATTTTTTTAATATGTTAACAACATCTTAAATCGAAAATTACCTTTAAACGGCTAATAAAAAATATTTGTATTCGTATACCTTTTCTACCAAAATAAAAATAATTAACCGTTATTACAGTTAATGGCAATAAAGCAAAACTGGCATAAACTATATATGACAGCATAATAATTTTCCACGTTTAAACATACCAGCGACCACTAAAACGACAAAATCTTTTCGTTAGAAATACGTAGGAATAGTGAACTCGCTAGTGAACGTTTCCCCGGAAAAATTTCTCTTAATCAGAATTTCATCAGAAAGATTACGTTCCTCGGGGAAATGCTCCAGGCAAGAGAATAGGCGCTTCGATTTTAATGTCGCGGTGCATCATCGCCCCAACCTACAATCTGCAATCATTATGTTTTTATTTTCGTTCAAGCGAACAAATTCTACAAATTGTTCAATTTTATTGTGAACTAAATAATTATCAACAAACTACGATATTTTATTCAAATGAACATGAAAATTGCTTTTGCCCCAAAATTGCATTCATACAGGCTTAAACATTTTTACTAATATAAAGATTAATTGTAGTATTTTTGGTAATAACGCACATCTCCTAAATGTATGCAATTTTTCTTTAAACTCTCGAAAATAATTTTCCTTTAATTTCGCCGAAATACACTCAAATATTTCATATATGGAAACGGATTAATAAATTTCAAATGAAAAATTATTTATTGTTCGGTCTTACACTCGTGCAGTGACCATACAATAAAAGAAATTTAGTTGCAAAAGTATATTAAATGCAACCTAATCTCATTTCACAGAAAACGAAAATTTTTACCTTTTAATTTGCATAATAGCAGAAAACACCTTTAAGAGACTAAAATTAAAAGCAATAACAAAATTTCAAACACATCACAGGCTTAGAACAGGCATAATTAAGTATGCAACCACGATTTTTATTAAACACTAAATTTCAGAATAAAATGGCGAAAATTTTATAAATATTTAGAACTTGCCATGAAATAATAGTAATACTTTGTTTTACAGTCTTTCGTTTACAAATTTCTTTGCATATTCACAATGAAAATTATTCTAAACACCGAATTTCTTGTCGCATCTAAATCAAATTCATATTAGTATAGTTTTATTCCATTAAGGCAATTAATATTCCATTTATAAAAGCAATCAATCCGATTTATGTCATCTCACTGTCTATAGCGTAATAATGAAAGCGCTGCTCATTCACTCTATATTTGAAATATTTTATTGTAAACTAACAAAAGCAAATAAATGTTTAACACAAACAATTAGTTACACGCACCACAATCGTAAACGCAGCAAAAATTCTTACTAAAATTGTTTACAATGTACAAACTGGTGTATACCAAAAAAATGTGAATAACATTTACTTTTGGTAACTCATAAACCACGCATAAGAACGGGAATGAGAATAACAATTTGTGAACGAATTATAATTTCATTACAATTTATACTACATACCTGTTCCTGAATATTTCGTTTTATTTTCTACCTTTAAAATATCCTTTTTTTAAAAAAAAATATTCGAGCATGTTGTTCATTTTATTTCTGTTCTATAACGAGGGTGTTGAACTGCCACACATTTTTGCTTCCATAATTGTTGCTATGAACAACCGTAGTATGACAAATTCTTGTTTATACCTTCAGTCTAATTAGAATATTCTTCAAGTGAACTTGTTTTATTTTATAAATTTCTGTTGTTCTAATTGTAAAAAAAATCATAATGGAAATAATGAATGAAAAATATTTAATTTTAGAAGAACTTCGAATTCAACTATAAAAATTTCAAAAACTATGTCAAAAAAAAAGCAAGGAATGGATTATACAAATTATAATTATAATACTGCGGTAAGTCGTTTAAAATTACTTCTAGCAGAATCATATAGTCCATCAAGTAAAACATTTTCTAAAGGTGGAATTGAAGAATCAGGTGAAGAAACAGATAATCAATCAGTGGTAATCAAAATAATATTAAACATAATTTTTAATTACTTAATTCACAAACTATAATTGATAGGATCGACCAGCTATAAATGAAATTTCAAAATATCTTTCACCAAGTTATAAAGATCCAAAAGGATTATTGAAAAAATATAAACCATTTAGCTCATCATTATCAACAGATCCATTGGGAATTCCCAGTTACACGTCAACTTCTGACTATTTGACCTCTAATCCTGTAATTCCTTCGTCTTCTGCAATAGCTGGTGATGGAATTCAGGCACCAAAAGAAATACTTAATTTTATAGAAAAACAAGAAGATTACATTGAACAATTAGAAAAGGAATCCAAATTTTGTCGTGTGAGTTTATTTTTAGCTTTATTTTAAATTTAAAATTATTATTTTATATTTGGTCTTTTATTCAAAAAATAGAATGAATTATCACATTTGCTTGGTAAAGTGAAAGATGTAATTCATGAAAATGAAGCTTTAACCGAACATGCTAGATCCGATTTAGCAAAATTGACTCGTGATGCAAGTCATCACAGAGATCATCGCATTTCTAATTCATCTGAAAGTGAAGATATTTATGCAAAACCAGCTAATAAAAAACCATCTCGTCATTTAAGTGGTCCAAATATTGTTTTTGAATCAAAAATATCTGAACTTGAAGCTGAATTAGCACAGTATAGTATAGATTTAAAAAAAGTTAAAGCAGAAAATGATGAGCTAAAACGAAAAATTGCATCAGGTCATGGTGGTTCTGGATCAGCATCATCTTTAATAAATTGTGAACTTCATCGTAAACAAATTGAAAATTTACAAAAAGAAAAATTACAACTTGAAGATGATGTTCGTCGATTACAGAAAACTATTGATGACATGAAATCTGAACAACAATATATAAATTCAAAACGTCATATAAGTGACATGGCTGTGATAGAGCGATCACAACAAGAAATTGAAATTAAACATTTACGTGATGAATTAGACCGTCAACATGAAAGAGTCAGAGAATTACAACATGAAATGGCTCGCCGTGTTTCGGAAGAACGTTCAAATGCGGAACGTCGTTATAATTTACAAGTAGATCAATTAGGTGGTGATTTAAATAATCAATGGGAACAAGTTGCAAAACTTCAAATGGAATTAGAACGACAAAAACGTGTTGAATCTGATATGAAACGTGATGTTTCACAAAAGAATGCCCAAATTGAAGATTTGAAACAGGAACTTAAAACAAAAAGAACAAATTTCCTATCAGATATTGCTCAAGTAAATGCTGAAAAACAATCATTAGAACAAGAAATTACCTCATTGCGTTTACAATTGGATCGTGCAGATAGAGCAGCAAAAATTGAAGCAGCTCGATTGAATGCTGAAATAAATTCATTAAGACAGCGACTAGATAGAGCTGATGCAGATGTTTTACATGCCAAAAGAGAAAATTTACGATTAAGCGATGAAATTGCAAGCCTTGAAAAAGAGGTTAGAGTTCAATTATTTTACATACATACTCGTATATTATATACATTTATTTATTAATAATTTTAAATTATACTTACATATATTTTCTACTCATGTGAGAAATATTTGTTTTAGGTTACTCTTGGTGAAATGAAGAATGAATTAAGACCGACAAGAAAAGATTTAGACAAGTCAATAAATGAGTTACAAGAAAAGCATGGTATGTGAAATGAATTTCAATAAAATTGAATATTTCTACAAAATATTTTTGAATTATAATTTCTATTAATTTTGTACAGTTTCTTATTAATCACCATTTTGTGTATAAAATTTTCTTATTCTCTTTGTGTGTAAATTTTTTAATATAAATATAGCTACATACATATTTAAATATCAATTGTAAATTAAGTTGAATTTCGACAGTTTACTTTCATGCCTATATTTTTTGTTCAGTCAATGTTTTAATTAATTAAATAAATTTATAATTTTTCTGTTTAAATAGTTTGAAATAAACGCAAAGAACTTTATTTTTTTTTTAAATATTTAATAGTCATCTTCTCTGTTTAAACACTTTACAATATCTTTGTATTTTATTTGTTTTAATTTAATTTTTCTAATACTGTAGTGTTATTCTAAAAAGTGTCTCATTTTAAAGAAGTGCTTGAAGTTATGTGTATCACAGGAAAATTTCAAAAATTTCTTATAGACACGAATAACTTGTATAATATGTAATGATATCCATTTATAAAAATTTTGTAATTTCTTTTAAAAAAAAGCTCCGAACACTTTGTTCTGTAGAATTAAGAAGCAACCTTTAAATATAAATATTGAGAATGAACATTTATTTTTCGTATTTGAAGCCATCTACCGGAAAACATTTGTGTAATTACTCATCTCAAATATTTCTTTGTACAAGAAGTGCAAGCACCCTGCAAATAAACATATAATATCAAATGTGTAATACTGCAGTGTTAAAACTGCTATCTACTTCAGGCTCTGGTGCAAAGAAATAAAAATTTTTAAATAAAATTTTTTTTTGATACATGAAACGCCAATCAATATAAAATAAGATTTGCCACAATGCAATATTAAAGTTAAACTATTTTAGTACTAAGTTTTTTCAGATATTACCAAATTATAGTTGTAAAGTAAAAATGTGTTTAATGTTATTAATTAACAAAAAAGCTTTCTATAAGAATAACTAAATTGATCTCTCAAAAAATAAGTAGAAAAATAGTAGTACAACTTAAGATAGATTAGTACAGTAGTACACTTGATGAAATAGTAGTACAATGATACTATACTAGTACGTTCGACAGCGCTGCTCCAAATTAAAGCGATTTAGAGAGTTATAATATTTAAATATTTTTTCTCAATTTTTTCAATATTCAATTTTTATTGAAATCTATTTAGTGAAATTTCAAATCGACAGATACTATTTGTCCATTTGACATTTCACTGTCAAATATAATTAAAATGTCAAATGCGTAGTATAGTTAGTTTAAATCACTATTAAAGAAATCTTGTTGCTTTCTACAAACATTCTTTGCATTTAAATACAAAAAAATTTTATTATACAAAAATTATTAAAATTTCAATTTAATTTCTGTAAAATATTAGTTAACATAAAACTAACCCCTTATTTTTAAGTGTAACGTAAAAAAATTAGTAAATAATTAAAATTACAAATTAAACTTAATTAACTAATAAAGATTAAAATGTAATAACAAAGAGTAACCGTGGGTAAGCTATTGATTGAGAACAAAAATATCATTAAAAACATTTTCTTTTTCATAAATCTTATATTGTAGTTTTAATTTAAACAAAAACCAACATATAAAATATTTGTTTTATTTTTACAAAATTATAAATATTTCTCAAAATTATAAACGAAAAATTACAAGTATTAAAAAACTTCTTTTAATAAATATTTTATTTTTTGTAATTAAAGGTATAAATTTTGTGAAATATGCATAAATTCAAAATTTTATTCAAGTTTCATAATAGTACAATTGAACCAGTTTTTACTCACATTTTGAGCATTATTGCAATTTTGAATATGAGTTAAACCTTTTACTGTTATGAAAATTGAATTTTTAGATAACAATATGTAAATATTTATGTACAAACATTATCATTATTTGCATTAAATTAAAAAAAAATTTTACTCTCATTTGTCATTCAAAAATGAAATTCTTCACACTCACAAAGAGCGAAATTGATTTATTATTTTTTTACTCAATTCATTATAAGGAAAAAATTGATATTTTCACTCATAAGTTTTTTCAGTGTTTTTAAAATTTTATTTAAAATAATTTTTTATAATCATTTCTTTTTATAGTATATAGATTTTTTATTCTTAATTATTTTATCATTTATATGAATTCGTAATATTTTTGTAAATATCTTTTTTGGAAAATGGTGCGGTCAATAGTTTATCCATGAGTTATAAAGTTTCTCCGCTCAAAAGTATATTCATATACTATTGGTATTATATATATTTTAGATAATTTTATTAATATTCATAAAAATATAATTATTACTGTTTTAGCATTTTCGTAACAATTTTATAATCAAGAACAATGAAAAAATAATTTAAAGAATAAAAATAATAAATTAAATTTATTATATTTGCATTTTAAATAACATTTTTAGGAGGGAATTTTTCCATTATTACGTCAAAATCAAGTTCAACATTAACACTGTAAAACACACTGTTTCGAAAATTCAACACTAGTAGAGTAGTTGTCGTTTTTTTTGTACTTAACTTTTAACATAATTCTTACTTGATGTCGTTGTTAACTGCCTTTGATTTTTTTTTCTCCTCTTTGACATCTATATTTTAAATATATTTTAAGTTTCAATTTTTTATTTAAAGTTTTATTTTAAGTTTTGATATTTGATATCATAAAAAAATACAAAACAAAACAATCAAACAACCAACCAAAAAAATGTTATTTATAGCCGCAACTGTATCTGACCTTGAAGAAATGATACAAAGCCAGCGCCAACTCATGGATAAACTGACCACTGAATGCAAATCATTAACTAACAAATTAGAGGACACTTCACTTAAGCATAAGTACATAAAAAAAATATTTTTTGTATTCTTTAGACAAAAACAGTTTTGTTTTATTTTTTTATAACATTGAAAAGAAAAGAAAATCGAAAAATTTTAAAGTTTTTTATGTGAGAATCTTAAAGGAATTTAAAGAAAACAAATTAAATCAAATATTTGACATATGCCGTTTATAAATATAAGCATAGTCAATTTTAAACACATTATAAAAATTATTTTATAACAATTTGCACATTTTACTTTCAAGTTGAGTGACTTAGAATACAACCCTTTTACAATTTTAAAAGGCTTGTTACATTTGCAAAAATTTAATTTTGAATTTTAAAACAATATTGTGTATTCTGTGACATTACAGTTGTCAATGATTTACAATGTTGTCAAAAACTACCCATGTCAAAAATGTAGCAGTTAAAATTGTAATAGGATTAAAAATATTCAACTTGACATTCAACAACAAAATCTTCCCGACAATATTTTTAGGTTAAGTAAAAACGTGATAACAATTGGAGCGTTTTACGTTTAAATATTCGGCAGTGGATTCCAATCAACTTTCCAGTAAATCCAAATTCTTCGTTTTCTTTTCTTTTTATAATTTATTTTTTTACCTTTAAAATTTTTGACACTTTGAAGTTTTGTCCAAATATTTTACATTATACAGGTTACATAAATTTTAATTAGGACTTTTTTCAAAATTCTTCCGGATATAAGAAAAGAAACTAGCTTTGTTTCGAAATTTACAAAAAAAAATTAAAAATATCCTTGATTTTTGGTTATCGCTTATATATTACCTATACTATCTATATTTGATAATTACTCGAAACACCAATACCACAAAAAAAAAATAACAAACAAAAAAAAAATACAAATTTTGCATACGTTGCCATACTTTTCTTTTTTTCTATATTTCTCGTATTTCCGGCCAGGCTGCCTCCTACCGTGCGAAAATCTAATGATGGAAAACGAAAGCGAGTACGATTTTGGGAGTAAACCAATTTGTCCAATTTTAGAAAATTCATCTACCTTTAAATCAAACACTTGTTGTGATTCACTTAGTAATTATATCAATGCAAATAGTAATAGTATTAATAATAATATACCCACCGCTACCAAAACTGCCACCAAATTTACCACCGATAATTTAAATGCATGTTTTGATGAAATATGTAGTGAAGACAACTACATTAAAGATGATTTAACAACAAAAAATAAAACATATCCAAATTATCATAAATATGATTTTAAGAGTACAAAAACGTCTCCAAGTAATTGCTGTGCTAAAGATAATAATATTAAAAATATTGAACAATCAACTAATCATCATAATCATCATGGCTGTCAAAGTCAACAACAACAGCAACAACAAAAAAAATTATATCAATATCAACATAAACCAGAACCATCAACATCATCGAAACCGTTTTTAAATCGTTTTAAAGTACAAAAACCATATATAACCGAAAATACACCAATTTTCGGGCCAAACGGTGCTATGAAAGATTTTTTAAAAAGGCAAGAACATATTCAAGCTGAACGTCAAAATAAAACAAAACACCAAACAACAACAAAATGTTGTCCATCAAACACAGAATCGTTGACTAGTGATCAACAATATCATGTGTATGACACACAACAAAAATTAAAATCAAAATGTAATAGTGACAATGAAATGAAAAAATATGGAACTCATAATAATTGTGGACATTCCAATATTTCAAATACAATAAAAAATAAAGATAATCAATGCAATGAGAATTCATTTAACTATTATCCTTGTAATGATAATAGTAGTAAATATGATTTTCGATCAAATCAACATCAACAGCATGAACAACAGGAACAACAACACAAACAACAACAGCCGCAACATCGTTACCAAAAATTACATCAACAACATTTACGTTTAAGTAATCAAAAACGTGTTATCAACAACAATATGGATTTAGATTGTCAAAATTTTTTAGATACTAACTGTAAGGCTAAATCATATGAGCACTTAACCCATAATACAAATAATTATAGTTTTTATAACAATAATAAGAATAATAACAATAATAATTATGATCATAATAAAAAAATTCTTAGTAACAATAATAATAATTTAAGTAAATGCATGATGTTATCAGATAGTAAACTAAATTCATATCATAATCAAAATCAAAATCATAATTTCAATCACAATCATCAATCTAATCATTTAAATCATAATCATCAAAATCATAATCATTTAAATCATCATCATCAGCATAATGATCAAAAAGAAATCAATAATAAATCACGTGCACCACTTAAATTTGATATCAATGTAAAATTTGTGCCAAGTAATAAACCAAAAATCAAGCCGAATGATCAATAATAATGAATTGATTGAATAATAATGTAAAAACTATAAATATATTCATATATATACATACATATATATAAATCAAATCAAATAATATTATATACATAATTAGAGAACAAATATAAAATGCCAAAATTAAAATTATTACTAAACAAAATGATAGGGTTAATATAAATTTTATTTTTTTAATTTATTTTAAGATAACAACAATATATACATACGTTCACTCATTTAAATACACACTTGTTTGTAAAAGACTTTAGCATCTTTATATAATACAATAAAATACATAAAGACTTGAATATATCATTGAAATTTAAATGCAATGTTATAATTTAAATGAATAAAAAAAAACTAATTTTAAATGTACATGTATATATACATTAATGTCATTGTATATAATCAAGTCTCATTTATATATACCCATAATTAAAAGAAAATTCGAAAGAAGAATTCAAAAAATTGCAAGATGCTACACGAAAACTTTACGCAACATTTTCAAGTAACACACAAAATATTTCAACAATATACAAACATTTATCATAAAACAAAATCTTTTGAAATTACAGCAACATGTTCAACGCAACATACCTGAAACTAAAATAAAATTAATGCTAAAATAAAATTACGGAAAATGCTGCAAAGATAACATTTCTCCATACGAATTTCGAAAGAATTGAATCACATATTTCATGTTACAAGTGCTCATCTTTTTTATTTTGAAGCGGAACCAACATATTTGCTTAAAAACTCAGCCAAAGTTTTCAAATATAATTTTTTTAAAATTTTCAAAATTCCATTTTCGTCTTGTTTCCATCAAAATTTTTCGTAGTATTCCTTAATACTTCTATTATATACCAACAATTCGATCTATTACAAATTTTAAATAAACTTTGATATTTTTGTTTTTTAAATTCACTTATTTCCATCTTTTGGAGTGTTTCCTTATTTTCTGTTTTTGTTGATAACTTTGTAAAATATTATAATTGATATTTAATAATAAACTGCACAGATATTTATAAAAAAATTTCAGCTGCGAAAAAAGCGAACTTCGAAAAACAAACGAAATGCTAGTTCAACGGTTAAAGCAGGTTTGGAAACAATATAAGAGTTGTAGTCCTGATTTTGAAAAAGATTTAACTTTGTCAGATGAGGATGATCAACTAAAAAAGAATGAAGAATCACAGATAAATAACAATACTATTTCACACACAACACAAAACACTGTCCTTCAAAACAATTTCAATCACACAAACAATACACACTCATCTTTCGATCATAAGGTAATTAAAAAATTAAAAAATTATACTAATTCTCTTCTTCTTTCTCTTCTCTCTCTTTCTCTCAAATCTGTCTCTTTGAACTTTTCCTTTTCAATATATTTGTCTCACATTGTTGTGGTAAATGATGATGATAAACAGGATGGAAATAGCGGCCTTACAATCTAACGTAGAATATTTAACAAATAGAGTAATTAATAGAGATTTACTAGAAAATAATAGTTCAGTTAATAACAGTGTTAGCCCATTTGTTACCAGTTTACCACAATCAACAGGTAATTCATAAAATACTTGAATGAAAAAAATTTACACCAATAGGATTTATTAATAAGGATCTCTGAAATAAAATATACCGTTTTATTAGTTTATTTAAAAAGCATTACTTTTTTTCAGCACCCACAGAATATGAATCACCAATTGGAACAACAAATATCCGACCTACCACTCCTCCATCATCAGCAATCGACACAACGGGACCAACTGTTGAAGAATACACTCCCAATCCAAAACAATTTGAATATAAGCGACCTTCAATTAACCTCGGTAACGCAGGCCCCACATCAGTTACCACCCCTACAACAAGTGGATATGAATCAACATCAGCCCGCAGCATTACCGAACCAGATACTAGCGTTGAACCATCAGCATTCACATCCTCTACACCTTACACGTACGAACCAGATGATGAAAACAGAAAAGATATCTATAGCACAGGAGAAAAATATTCCAGAAATGACAGTGATGGAGGCGCAACCGTTCCAAGCCGAGCTTCATTACCAAGGACTACCACGGCAAATGCAGATTCAAAACCGGTTACAACCACACCATACAACAGAAATCAATCTCCACAACAGCTTGCCGATGGCAGCAAGCTCTACGACACAACAAGTGATGAAATCAAAAGATCAACAGATGACATGCAGTCATATGAACAGCAACCAGCAACAGATTACAGCCAATATGCAAACCAGGGATATGAGCAATATGATCCACAACAATACGACACAACTGGCTATGAGGGATATGATCAACAACAATATGAAGGAGCTGAACAGTATGAGGGACAAGGATATGATGAACAGCAATATCAAGGATATGACCAGCAATACGGACAAGGTGATTATCAAACAACATCCGACCTCAACAATCAGTTCGAGCAACAATCAGCCCCATCTTTGGTACAACAGCAACAACAACACTTACAACAACAGCAACAACCCCAACCACAGCAGCAAACACACCAGCAGCAACAAAGGCCTGCATTACAAACACAGCAATCACCGGCGTCTCAGTCATTATCTGGAACAGCGACGACATTACAGCAACAACCCAAAATTGCAGGTAGTAAGCAATCAGAAGGAGGCAGCAGATCTGAATCGAGAACGGGCCCGAGCACTATGGGGTATTCGAATGAAAGCGGAGGAGGAAGTGGTAGCACAAGCACAGGAGGCGGAGGAAGCGGAGAACGGGGACCTAAAAATTTACCAAAACAGTCTACCCAGGGTTTTAAAGGAGCATCCGGAAGCATGTCTAAAAATTAATTTAGAAGAATCTGATACAAATCCATTAGATTTGATACCAGAATTTACTATTAGCAGTCCAAGTTTATTTGAACAAACTTCTGACTCTGACGAAAATTATGACGGTTCTTCAGATATAAGTAATTCTCCAAAAACTGCTATAAATTTGTTGCCATAAATTTAATGTTTTTAATTCAAATATTATGAATTGTAAAAAGATAATGAAATTTTAATGCTATAATATTTTTAAAAAACAATTTAGTTATAGGTTCATAATTATAAGATGTTTTAATTTTGTTCTGTACAATAAAATTTTAAACATTACTTCCTTTTTACATTCGAAAAATATTGATTGCGTCAAAAATTAACTTAACTATGCATATACGATTAGAAATCCATTGTTATTGGTCATCCATTCAATCTTGGTAATATTCGAAATAAAAACTTTAGAAACGAATATTCAATACTTATATGACTTAAGGTAAAATGCCGATTAGATTTCGAAATACACTTCATTCGTAATGCAGGTATTGGAAAATATAACTATTTATACAACAAAATATTCTAATCTTTTGAATTTATAAATTACGGTATCGTGAATAAATCGAACTTTCAATATCAAAATATTCTGACCTAAATTATGGAATATGATAAATTATTTTTTCTGATTTCTTAGACATTCCAAAACGTTTGAACTTTATTAGCCGTAAAAAACAACAGACCGTTTTATTGAGCAAAAATTTCTTTGTTTTTTAACAATATCAAAAACAAAGCATACTTAGTACATTGCATATAAGTATTCCATTTTCTTCCTTTTCTTTCTTTCTTTCTATTTTGAATTCAGCAAAAACGAATACCATAAATCCTTAAGTCACTACATAATAATATTATGTATTACAAACAAAGTGTGTATGCACCAATTCATAATTAATATTTTTATGACTCATATTTATAATTTTGAACAATAATAAAAGAAAATTAGAAACAATAACAAAAAATCCCCCCAACTGTTTTAAACTTCCTTTTCGAAATAAATTATAACGTATTGTGGAATTCAGACATCATAATATCTACAATATAATGTAGGTATACATAATTATAATATAAAATATTTGTGAAATGTTGTGCTACCATCTCTCTTTTTTTTTAAATCATATCAATTATTTTTCATAATACTACAAATTGTTGGAGAATAATTAAACAATCAAATTAAAATGAAAACTAGAAATGTTTAGAAAACTAGATTGCACCTGGTAATATACTGAATTCTAAATTTTAAGGTGAAGTCATAATGCACCGGAATAATGCGCGCGCATAAATTTTATATTAAAATTTGAGTTTATCTCATTTTTATATTTTGTGCACAGCTCTTTTTCTCTCTCTGAAAAAGTTGAATTAACCACTTTAGTACGAAGGTTTTTGAAAAATTCATTTTATACTCGAAAAAGGTAACGCGAAATTTCAGGGAAATAATGCTAAAAAAGCAAATTCAGTACTTTTTGACGAGGCGGTGAACCTTCATGAGAGAAACAGGAGAGACAGTCTTTAAAAGTAAATCGTCTTAATTAGACGTACCAATTAATTCTTCTTGACTATATAACTCATACGACACCAACTAAGCCAACTTTTAGTCCTTTTTTCAATATTTCTTAAGCTAAGCATAATATAGCAAAAAATAATTGTGGAAGCAAAATTACAATATTGTGGAAACACTAAATAATAATAACAGTTTTTACTACATTCGCGTTTATGTAAACTGAAAAATATGTGTTTAATTTCTTTTCATATATTTGTGTTCACATACACGTAATGTGGTGTTCAATATACCAAATGATAACTTAGAAAATTCTATACAAAATTTATTTAAAAAATTATAAAAAAAAAACAAAGTATTCACATACATACATAACAAAATATATACTAAAATGCATTTTTATGACAAGTTTAACCAGAGCGCAATCAACTCAATTTAATATATAGAAACCCTCAACAACTACTTGCATTCATTTGAAGTACTTGTAAATATTTCAAAAATGTTAAAAGCCATCATGCAACTGAATCAACTCAACATAATTATTTATTTACACACATCTATGCCCACATGCAGTTATATTCCATAGATATAAGAAGAAACTTTTCTTAAATTGAACGACTGTAACTACAGCTGCATACATACATATATATTTATTATGAAAACATAATAGCTGCCTATGATGGTTCACAACGGAATAGAAAATATTAAAAAAAAAAACACAAAAAAAAATTTTTTTTTATAACCACAATGACAAACCACGCCGAAATAACTTGGCTGTTTTTTTAAAGTGGTCAACTCTTTTTATTATTTTACTTGATCATGGCACACAATTGCCAACATGTATTGTAATATCGCCTCGCCGCATAGTAAAAACAAAAAGGAAACGAGTAAAGTTAAAAGAAATTTAACTCTTTTTTTTCTCTTCATACATTGGTACGCAATTATACACATACCAGCATTAAAAAACCAAAAAAAAAAAAAAAGAATTATAAAAAAAACTCTGAATTTCTTACATACACATCTATGTAAGCACATATGCATGTACATACAATTAATACTTGCATAGACGTCCATATTCATTTGAAAAATTCCGTACGCATCCAGTATTACCAGCTTTTTTACCTTAAAGCGTTTTATTAATTAGAACTGTGCATGATTAATCCCCCAAAAACGAAAAATAAAATAAGAAAATGATATTGATGATGATCATCATTATCTCAGTTGACAACGACTATGTATGTATATCGAAGATTACGAGAATGACGACAATAACAACAACAATAATACCACTATGTGACAATGGCGATGATTATGATGACGGTCATAACAAAAAAAAAACAAAATGATGATGTTGATTGATGATCTTAAGAATTGAGATAGTGACGGTGGAAAACTTAAACTGAACTGAGCATAAAATGATATTTTATTTTTGTTTGAATTGCATCACAAGAGAAATTGTCGGCCATGTACAAGATTAAAATACAATATATGTATATGCATCTATGCATGTATGTATGTTCGGGTATATGTAAGAATAAATGTATGTAACAAACATGCAACAACTTAGTGCGATAAGATGAATAACGAGAAGAGAATATAAAAAGAATGAAAATAAAAAAGAAACTTTAGTGAGAGCAGCGGCAGCTATCAGTAAAATGGTTTTCTCACTTCCAAAAGTCATCGAGTAGAGAAAATCATGTTTCTTTTGTTTGTTCTTTTTTAATTTCCACCCAAAGAAAATGTATTGGCGATTTATCAGAAATTCAAATGGGTAAAAACTCTTTTTGTAATATTTAGTTTATATAGAAGAAATGCTATTTCTCAATACAAACAAATCCATAACCCCAATAGAAATACACCATTCATGCACAAAGAAATTTGTGTATATCCGTACGCAGGTGTATTTAGTGTACAAAAATTTAATTCGATTAAAGGTCTCATATGTCACACATTGTAATAAAAACAGTGTTATTCGGCGAAACAAAATTTGATATGCAACCCGTAGCAGTGACTATTTAAAATAACCAGAAAATTCGTAGATTAAATTCGAAAATTGATATTTCGAAAATATTGAGCTAAATCTGAAAACAAAGTTTCCCTCTTAACTCTTTGGTTCATTTTTTTACTGATATTTTGCAATATGTTCTAGGAGTGAATTTCTTTATTTTAAAGAGACTCACATTTTATAATTTGGATATTAACACCAAAATATCGTTCATTCGTTGAAAGACCTTAAATCTGACTACATGTTGTTTTTCTGAGCGTATTTAACAATTAACTCCTAAAATTCTGCAAAAATAAAAAAAAAGAAAACAAAAATACAATAAAAATAACTCTTATCTTTTTAACCACAATTTTTTAAATTTTCCTTTTTCTTTTTTTACTTTTTTTTCGATTATTCCTTTTATTTATTTATTTTTTTTTTTTCAATAATCTTTAATAGCCGATCTCATTTTATTGCTCACACAATAAAAATAAAAGACTAATACTATCGCCTATCTGAAAAATTACTACCACAACAATAATTATTTAAATTATACCTCGAGGTGAAAAATAAATATACACATAATTACAAAATTTCTGATCAGAAAAATACACCAACTTATTGCATGTATGCAATTCAGTTATACCTATACATAATTTTTGGTGAATTGGTTACAAATCTGAATAATAAGTAAGAATGGCTATTTAACCACTACTTCTACACCTGCATGAATAAAATTAGGAAAAAAAAATTAATATAAGTTAAACAAAAACAACATTTACAGTTTAATAACTTAAGATTTTATTAAATAAACTTATATTTCATGTAAAAGTTTTACCTGTACAAATAAAAACAAAAAAATACATTCACATATTTAGTATACACATGCAATGCTATTATTGAAAGTGATCACAAGAAAAGTTTATATTAAACGTGTCCATCGATTCATAATTAAGATTTACCATTGTGCAAAATAATATTTTATCAATTTGTGTTTAATTCGAATAAACGTCAAGTATACTTAATAATTTAAAAAAAAGTGTTCTTTTCCAATTTTGACATAAAAAACAAAATCCAAAAATCAATAGCAATATTTGCCCTATATGTAATTATAAAATGCAAAAGATTTATACAAGTGTTTTACAGTAGTCAACCTGTTGATTTCCAACGTTTCACTATCTTTCTCATCATTTTCTCTCTTCTTAACTTTCCTTCTTTCTTTATTTATAAAAGGAGGAACAACAGCATGAAATAAAGTGCAAAAGTGAAAATAACAACCAGTTTGTTTTTTTCATTCGAAAAATCTTTTAAAAGAAGTCAAAATTAAAAAAACTTCAAGCTTATTCTCTCAATTATGAACATTTTTTAAGAAATGGAAAGCAAACTACCACAGTATTTATAAAAATTTACAATAATAATAATTTACAAACTGGTATTATTAAATTTTTTTTTTCACTATAAATATAATTAATTATTTTCACAATTATAATTAAAAAAAATCTAAAAAAGTAATTTCCACTCATTTTTCTCTTTTTTGAATTTTCTCTGAAACAAGCAATTAAATAAATGCTAAAATTTTCGTAAACAAACGAATATTATTATGCATTGTAGTAAATTAACTACATT